TGAGATCAACGAAATGAGATGTTGGCATGATCACTTGCAAACTACTTAAAGGAAAAATGATAATAAAAGGCAGGATCTAAATATTAGAAAATAGAGATGAGAGAAACCTATTAGTTCACCTCATCCATCAGTGCAAAATACTTTTTTTTATATTCTATTGCAGTGTGATTTCTTTTTTGGTCAGTCCAGTTCCAGATGCTTGAACAACTGGAGCCTCCAATACTTACTTCCCTTAAAGGACTCTTTTTTTTTTTTTTTTTTTTTTTTTTCATTTGCCATTTGCTCTAAATTTTATCCTCTTCAGTTCTGTTTTTGAGATGTAAATTTTGGCCAGATGCTGGGGTTCAATTCTGTTTCCAGATCATCTGGGTAATTTACATTCCATCTTTGACAGTGACATAGAAACTGGGGAACCAGAGCCTCACTAAAATGAATGTGCCTTGGCTTCTGATGAGGGCATCGCTTTTGGATGCTTGGGTCCCTCAGACAAGCTGTGTTTCCTCTGTCCGTGTCTACATTTGCACAGCACCAGGCACAATGCTGATCTAATTTAGAGCTCCTGCATGCTACACCAACACAAGTGGATCATATTCCTTCAGACAGTACTGTTTGTGTAAGACCCCTATATTTTGAGTCTCCAAAATGCAGTAGCTTGCTTATCCACTGCTTTTGCTTCCATGGGGGAATTCAGTGTGGTAGTGGTGATTTGAAGTACTATCCCGGGTTGGTCTGCCTTCCACTGCTATCCATCCTGTTGTTGGTGAAGGCAACACACAAGATATGTTAGTTTGTCAGATTAAGTAGACACAGATAGTTTAGAGTTAGTTTTCTGTTAACGCCCACTGCAGGGTAGCACTTTCTCACAGTATGACACTTAGTGTCTTCACCAGGGGCTGTGTTACACTCTGAGCATCTCTGCGTCCGGGTGGTGGTCGCTGCCCTCTCAGAAGGGAGGGTTTGGGAGAACAGAGGCATTCAGTGGGGCCCTGGAAGGTTTGAAAAGGCCACTCGTGAGATTAGGATATTGTCATGCAGGTGGGAGTTGAAATTTACTGACCATAAGAGGACATTGTGTTTAAGTCATGTTGGAAATGTACAAACAGAAGAAAATATTTCCCCAGGTGTTTACAATATGTTTCTAAGCAGACACATTGGCTTGTGGTGACTAGATTCATTTTTAAGTCTTGGCTTGATATTGGCAAAATTTTTCAAGATTCCTTTAATTAGTGGTGATTAATGCACACGGATTCTTCACAATAAGTGCTGATTTAAAAAATAAAAAAAATAATTCTGAACTCTTGAGAATAATCAAGGCAGCCAAATGTAGTCTAAGTGAAATACTATGATTTAAAAAATAATAAAATAAATCACTTCAGTTGACATAAAAAGCATATAACTGCTACTGAATAAAGTTTGGGATCTGCCTAATTTTAATAAACCTTACATAAAATGTAAATAAAATATTTAGTTTTGAGTCATTTAGTTTTGAGTTATTTTTTTTCTTGATTTTTCCAAAATCAATTTTCTACTTCTTAAGTCTCCCGTTTAATTTTATTTGTTAGGTTTTTTTTTTTCCTGTCTTGCTGTTACATTATTTCTTCTTTGTGTTCTGTCACACACAACATCTGAAATCTGCAGTTACCTGGTATAAAATGAGAGTTAAACATAGTTGCAACTCGAATGTCAATCCATGTGAAAGGGTGAGGCTGTGACAGTAAACAGTGAGATTAGTAAAAACTATTGTGTTAAGACATCCGGAATTACAGATTCAGAGCGTCAGTGTGTTCATTGATGAAAATGTTTGATGGTAAAAGTGGGGGCCACACTTATGGTCATTTTAAAGATAAATTATTTTTACCAAGACTGGTCTAAAGCTTGTTAAAATCAAAGGGAAACAAGTACATGTGTGGATGGGACCCCTGGTGCTTACTGTAAAGGGATGTGGTGGTTTTTTGTTTTGTTTTGTGGTTTGGGTTTTTTGTTTTGTTTTTGTGTGGGTTTTTTTTGGAATGTGCCTCTACCATTCTCTAGTGACGAGTGCATGTGGTGTTAGTGGCAATAAGACCTGCTCTGCAGTTTTGAATTTGTTCAAGGGGTTTTGTGAGTTACTTTTGGACTAAATGTGGTGCTGGTCAGGTGCCATCTGCCGTCCCACTGCCCGGGGAAAGTAAGAAGCCAGGGCAAGCGGCAGAAGGTGTGTGCTGCAGCTGGTGGGGCAGCCAGGCAGTGAGTGGCAGTGGCCGGAGCTGACTGTGCCGGCAGCGTGTGACATGGGTGCCAGTCAAGTAGCGCCCCTTTAGCGTGTCCCAATCACATGGGACTGAGGTGGCCATATGCAGCCTTGTTTCTGCACAGCCCAGGCGGGTTCCTGCATCCCTGCAGATCCTGCTTAATTTAATGGGGCTCCAGGTGGCAACAGAGCTCTGTGCAAGTATCTTCGTCGCAGGGCTGCTGTAGTCTTTTTGATACCATTGTGTGTCCCTTTCAGAGATGTTTAATACATATGTTAACATATGTATTAGCATATGTACATATGGTATGTACATATGATAACGTGTATTGACATATGATAACATACATAACAGAGATGTTTAATACATAGTTTTGGAAAAATACAAATCTATAAAATGAGCCAAAATCTATCTGTAAATAAAAGCATAAAACTTGGCATTAATGCAAATCCCTTGCTATAGAATTAAAGTTTGGGATCCGACTAATTTTAATAAAGATCTAGGGCTTGAAGGCAAATGCTTATCTGTAGAGGAAACAAAATCTCATTACCTTATTTTCCTCAGTGAAATCCACTCATGTAGTGTAGTTCAGTTACTGTTCTCAAAGCACTTGAAGATCATCAGATAACCCTCTTGACCTGAAGAAGGGAGAGTGTCAAGGAGAAAGCCATAGTTAATGACCCGGGTAGGCTAATTACAAGATGTATTTGCTGTTCCCTGCTCCCTCTCTGACCTCCAGTATCCTTCCTAAGGGCTCTTTGGCTCTTTAGCAAAGCCTCTTCCTCCCTCTGCAGCGTGTCTTGCCTCTTTTTCCTTCTCTTTGGTTGTCTTCAAGAGATACAGCTGCAGGAGTGTGAGACTGGTGGGCTTTGGGAGGCATAAGCAGGTGGAAGGAGTCTGTGAGGAGTAAATAAATTTAGACTTAAATGTCAGTGAGGGAAGCAAAGGGTAAGGAGAGAGGTGAAAAAGGATATAGGTGTCTGTGGGGTGAGAAAGTAAAAAATATTGCTGAATCTAGACCCATTCTCAACTATTGCTCATCGCTGGTCTCGCAGTTCCACCCTGGTGCCTTGTCTCTGCCAGCTGCTTTCAGAAAAGGTTCATGTGGAGGCCGAGGGAGGGTTAGTATGTACAGCAAAAAAACAAGAGGGGGATTCCTGAGGTAGAACAGAGGCTCTGTCTATCCCTCTGTCCTAAATCTTAAGCTGAAGTGGGGGTGTGTAATTGAGGAGTAGATGTTGAGGCCAAAGGAAGAGGCAGCTGTGTGAACTGAGCATCTCATTCTGAAGAGAGGATGAAGCCAGATCAAACTACATGGTGACAGATGGGCCGCATCAGAAACCAGATGGCCCAGTGAGTCCTGCCACTCCTGCTATGAAATAGCAAGTGGAGAAGCCCAGAGTGCAGTCCAAAATGTTGTTACACTCTTATGTGAGGGCCACTCACGGTTTGTAAATGATGTTACAGGGACAAATCCAGTCTGTGATGGCTGACTCATAAGCCAGCATGGGCTGCGTGTAGGAAGGGTGACAGATCTGAGACCCAGCTTACTTTTACAAATACATCTACGTGTCTTTCATCAGCTGAGGTGCCTCAGTGGCTTTCAGGCCAGACTGCCTTACAGGCTGTGCAGATATACCTTGTAAGATGCTACCACTCAGTTAAGGACTTGTCTAATTGATAGCATCCATGGATGATCATTGCAGCTGCTTCAGGGTGTACAATTATGAGTAATTGTTTTCTTGTTTACCTCCCTTATCTTGACCAACCTTTCTTTTCTGCAGTGGTCCATGTCATGGACCTGAGCACTGTCATCTAGGAGTTAATCTAAACCTGCAGCAGGGCGGTGTGGATGCACGCTGGTCCAGGCACCTCTGCTGTGGCTGGTTGCCCTTCCGATTTGCGGCATGTCTAATCTCTATAATGTCAATATTAACCTAGATGTTTTGCGACTCTTATTATGTCTGAATTTGTGAAGACTTGCCCTTTCCTTGGATGGCAATAAGAGCCATCCAAGACTTGGAAAACTTAAAATGTGAACTAAGAATGACGTGAAGGAAAGCAGATTTATAGCTAAAATGTCCCACTAATCCAAACCCCATCTGCTTGGTACCCTGTCCTGGGAACAGATTTCAAAGTGTTTCTGAAATGCTAATCTACTTTTAATGTCAAGTTTATTAAGAGATGTTTTGTACATATGTGAATACATGAAAACTTGCTGGGAGGGATTTGTGTGTTTTGTACATGGGGCTTGCATTTTTCAAATTAAAAGCTTAAAGTTCTGTTGATCATTAGGGCAATAGAGTATCTCAATGTATAAATGCAAGCACCTTCCAACAGCGCATTAAGCGATGCCTCTAACTTGTCAACAAGTTAAATACAAAGACAATCCAATCCAGACCAAAGAGCTTTGGCTGGCATTCAGATCAAATGGAGGGAAGTTTTCCCTTTCTCATTAAATCTGGCACAATAAGGATAGTGATTGATAGCTATTAAAAGCACTAAGGCTTGAAAGCATTAGTCAGCTTGTTTCTCGGGAGAGGCTGTGTCTGAGAGGAAAATAGGGTTTGGGATTCCTGTGTCCTGTCCGTTGAAGCATGGAAGTGTGTGCCAAGGACTCCTTTCTTGCCTTGGAGCTCTGAGCGCAGTGTGCACCTTCTGTATCTCTCTTCTCCGACACCGAATGCATTTGAAATACGATGCCATTATTTCTGATGCACCCATATTAAATGTACAAAAATCAAATGTGCCTAATTAAAACATTTGTAGGTCTGGTTTAGTAACCGTCGCGCTAGATGGAGGAAACAGGCAGGAGCCAATCAACTGATGGCTTTCAACCATCTGATCCCAGGAGGATTTCCACCCAGTGCCATGCCAACTTTGCCGACGTACCAGCTCTCTGAGCCCTCCTATCAACCCACCTCCATACCGCAAGGTACAGTAGCCAACAGGTACTTGGTTAAAATAGTGTTATTGAGGGGTTTTCTGTGTTGATCCACCGTAGAAATATTTTCTTCTCTAAAGTAGGAAAAGGAATGTTGGCTAACTTAGGGCCTGAGTCAGTGAGGACCTTGCAAGCCTGCATATTTTAAGCATGTAGGAACTCGGGTTTGTTTGTGAGAAAGGGCTGGTTGCACGTGAAGGGTGCTAGCTAGAGAAATAATAGCCTCCTGCATGGCAGAGGTGCAGCATTGGTAAAACAACGTACACACTTCCCTACCCTTCTGTTGCATTGGTCTCCTTCGCTGAGTGCTCGGCGTGGCGGGGAAGGACGTAGCAGTTGCATTCTGAATTTTTCGTTGCTTTCGATGATAGTACACTGGAAACTTCTGTAAGTACTCTGAATATTTATCTGATGGTGGAAAAACAGCTATTCAGACCATCTTTTTTCACATCAGGTAGTAGCAAGTCTCAATATTGGAAAACTTTGTCTTAATGTTACCAGAAATTCTGTGAACTTTGCTGGACGTTGCGAGGGGAACACAGCCTCAAATCTAGGCTACACTAGATTTTACTGTTAAAGAAAAGCCCTACAGAAGAGACTTTATAAAATGAGTTCCTGTACTCTTCTTGCTCCTTCCTTGAGATTTGGATCTTAACTGTTGGTGGATGTTCAAATTAAGGGAATTTTTCAAAGCCCAGGGCTTCTCTCACCCGTTGCTAGGTTCACTACAAATCACGGCAGAATTTCTATGCTGTGACCAGGAGGGAAAGCCTGTTTCCAGTCTTGTAAGCAAATAAAGCTTTGCCTTTATTTTTATATATATATATGTGTGTGTGTATCTATCTATCTCTAAAAACTATTGCTGTATCAATTCTGAATGATATGTGCCCACTAAAAACTGTATGCGTCTGTTGTTATGATTTTTACAGTCTGTATAAGAATTTCTGTGTAATCTTACCTGCCAGTTAAATATCTAGCAATATTAAAGATCTAACCTTTCTATTTAACCAGTACTTAGATGCAGGGCCTGATCCAATTCTGTCAAGTTGAGCTTCACATAATGAACTTATTATGCCAGAAAAAAAGGAGGAAAACATATCAACATGTTTCTTTTGCTTCTAGCCGTGTCTGATCCGAGCAGTACCGTCCATAGACCTCAGCCTCTCCCTCCAAGCACTGTACACCAAAGCAGCCTCCCTTCGAATCCAGAGAGCAGCTCTGCCTATTGCCTACCCAGCACCAGGCATGGATTTTCCAGCTATACAGACAGCTTTGTGCCTCCGTCCGGGCCCTCAAATCCCATGAACCCTGCCATTGGCAATGGCCTTTCACCTCAGGTCAGTCCCGTGTTTTCAGACAGAGGATTTGCTGTATACCAGAACCAAAGAGTCTATTCCCTCAGGCCACAGTATAATGAATTGCCAAATTTAAACCATAATGTATTCTTTATACAAGCCACATGATTTCAGTTTGCTAGTTTCCTTCTTTTTTTTATTTTTTTCCTTCTGAATCAAGAGTCATAGCTTATATTTAATTTCAAGTGATTTATAATGTAATCATGCAGGCTTCGTGTTTACATTCAGTTGTCAAGCGTTTGTTATGTACTGCTATTTTCCTGAAGATCAGTGGGTAGGTACAGAAAATAGATCGTGTACTTTTTCTATGAATAAAATATCTCTTTAAGATAACCTCACCAAAATTTTACCAAATGGTTCAGGAAAATTACCGGCAAGTTGCATGAGAAAGAGATCCGAGGGCTGAGCAGTGTGCAATGACATGAGCTATAATCGAGTTATAAATACATAAATTAGGAGTATTACTGCTCTTTGGCAATATATAAATGCATGAATACCATAATTGTTTTTCTAATTTGCATGAGCTCTTTTTAGGAAATCATGTTAATAAATTGCCTTGGTAATTGAGTGTCAAAAGGTTGGTTAAATTTTCCTATACGTGGCATCTGTCTGAAGCTGACGTTATTAGTTAAAGCTTGAAGAGATGGTAGTTTATTTTATTAGCGAGAGCTTTGCCCAGGTGCTTGGAAAGAGATGTCCACTAAATTCTGAGAAGTCACAAAGAGGATGCAATCTATAATTACAATCAGGAATCTCTTCAGGGCTGAAAGTGAGAGTTTTAACGGCTTTATCTTCTTGCTACCCTTTTTTCCTCTCAGTGGTTAGAAAAACAGAGAGAAGCTCAGAATGACACAAATGAAAAGTGAAAAGACAATTATACTCAATTACACACTAATCACTGACTATCACCACTGCCTAAGCAGGGAGAGGGCATTCTAATAGGCAGAAAATGAGATTTTAATGGCACAAAGGGTGGCCAAAATAACGACTCGTATATCTTTGCCTCCTTCGTTTTCTTCAACTTGTGGTTTGCATCTCGGGAGTACAGTTCCTGGTTCCTGTGCAACGGTGATAACTCTGTGCAGCTGAAAAGTTCAAAGGCACTGGAGTTGAAAAGAATGAATAACAAAGGCAATGAAATAAACATTTTTGCCCAAAGGCAAAAGTTCATAAACCCTTTTTTGTAACAGTAAATGTAATTAAGTTTCACAGATTCCTATAGCATAGAGTGGGGTACAAAACTTTATGGCTTGAAACCTCAGGAAAAAAATACCAACAGAAAAACAAACGGATGTACTTCCAACAAGACTTGAATGAATTTTGTTCTAAAGAATTCTGATTTCTAAATGCAATCTCCAACAAAAGCCGTGACATTATATTAGTTGCTTCATTTTTTTTTAATGGCCAGTTTTGTAGTGTGCAAGGCTTCCACAATTTTGACATAAGTATCTCTGGGATTCGGCGTTAATCCATCAAAAGTAGTTGTTAGTGTCAGTTTAAATGTGTGTTGGTTCTGGCTATGGAAAATGTGATCTGTTTTTCCTTTCACAAAGCTTTTATTGTCTGGGACACAGAAGTGGAGTGCAACAGTAAAGAAATCTTGTGATGTCTGGGCAAAGTGGGACAAAAAAGTGAGGCCAAGTTTCTGTCTTGCTGATTTGAGATTCAATATAATCAAACGGAGATCCCGGAGTAGATTAGATGACTTTAATCAGTTACTGTGCTTCTTTACACCCAGCCCTGTGTTTATGCTATGAAACCTCTGTTATGTGTTGTTTTTCCTTAGACTTTTGAAACCTTTTCCTAACCCAGGAGTTAGGGTTTGTGGCCACGTCCTGCACCTCTCCCAGCAGTTTTAGGAGAAGGCTGGTCACTCAGAAGCTGATGTTGTGTCCATCACTGAATGCATACAGGAGATTACTTCTATCCATTTAGATTTTTAACAGCTTCTCAGCAACTGAATTGTTACCTTCACTGCCTGATAAAGGTCTTTCCATCAAACAACCAACCAACCCAGCCCTAAATTCATGCAGTGTTACCAACAGCTTCTCTAAAACAGTTTTGGGGCCTAAACAATAACTTAGAGACATGTATAAAATGTATGTATGTGTAAAATGACATACGTAGGCTTTGTGTTTATATAAGGAAGTGATTCAGCCCCAAATATGTAAATTATGTGCTGTGGGACTCTAGTAAAAGAGCTATTGTGCGTTCTGCCTGAAGAAGAGCCTCAGATGTCAGTCATGTATGTTGCGACGTTCGTGTGTGTGAAATGCCCCTTTAGTCGTGGGGGTGTGTCGCAGTGCATCCCCTTGTCGTGCTTCCTTGGGGCTCTTCCCGCAGGCGCCCAGGTGCTGCCAAGCGGTGGCCAGCAAGTCGAAAGCCAGGCCTGTGTTGGGGATTTCGTGAAGAAAGAGAAACAGTAGGTTGCCTGCTGAGTGGGCATGCTGCAGTGCCCTGCCTGTGTGCGTGGAATTTAGATGAGAAGGAGAGAGGGTCCTTTTAGTAGCTGGTGGATTTTTGACCACAATAAATCTGGGTGTGTGAGCAATTAACATAATGTTTCCACCCATCACTGTCTGTCTCCCAGGCAAGTGCTCTGGACATACTGTGTGTAAAGCTGAATTTACACACATTGAAGGTGACTTTAGTGGGAGGGGGAGCTTTGTCGGAAGCCCAAATAATCTTTTGTGATTTAAAAAAACCCAAACCCTCAGAACGCGCAGAACAAAATCTAATATTAAGATTCACGGTATCATATTCTTACCAGACTTAAACCTCCTCTTTGCCTTTGACTTCAATTTATTCTGAACGAGGGTCTGACACACAGACCCCTCGGGGAAGCTTTATTTTCCATGCAGGATGTTTCCTCTCTAACTTTGTCCTTGACTATGATGGACAAGTATGTTGTTTAAGGCAAGCGCTGGGCGAAGGCAGAGAACAAGCAGAGACGGCTAGGGTGCTGTCATTTTATTTTTATCGTGTTAGCTGTGAACTTGGAAGTTAGAGAAAACTTTGGTTTTGGTCAGTTTTAGGAAGCAGAAGGCTCATAACATACCTGTTTTTCAGGCTGGGAAGGGAAGATGTTATTGCGCTTGTTTAAATGAATGAGAGAATAGAAAGAGCCTCACCTTGGTAATACACCACATGTTTTAACATCAAGGCAAAATCTGCAGATCTCCTTTACAGGACTGATTATTCTCCTTGTCCATCTGGTTTACTCATTACTACCTGGCTGTGGTGAGACAACCTCTGTCTTACAGACCTGCAAAGGGTTGACTTTTCCAGGAATAAGACAGGGATTAATGCCTTGGGGAACTGGTTGCCAGGAGTGTCCTTGTTTGCATTGCACAAAAAAGCAACCAAACTGCAAGCACACTATCTCAGCCAGAGCTCTTTAAATATAATGTCAGAATGGAGATTATTAGTGTGTAATATATGTAAATTGCATATTTTTATGTTTTCTATGCCTATTATGCAGCTTCTTGGCTTTCATGCATACATTTATGGGAATACTGTATTTCCTTTTCAAATTAGGTTTCAGTTGCTCAGTGCATTTTCTTTTAACAAATGTTTGTTAACTCAAAATTATTAGGGAGTAGCAAATCTATGTGTTAATATGTTTGTACGGGACTTAAGTGTGCCTCTGAATTGGCATGTCACTTTCTGATCCCGGCATTAACAGTCATCACCAATTCTCCCATGGAAAGCAGAAGAGCGACTGCGAAATCATTTGTCTTCCAACTGCAGGTGTATGGTCCTACTAGAGAGCAGATTGTTTTCAAGACAGGATATCAATATTTTGAACTGCTTCATTTAAGATAAGGAAAAAGGTTTTTCCGGTGTACATGGGCATCCCTTGACCTTGTCATGTGCTTTTTATTAATGTCAGAGCAGCAGAGTTTGCCTTACACCAGGCGGTTCACGCAGTTTGCTGGTTTTGAAGCGTGCTGGTTTGGACCGCCCGTGGATTCAGGAGGAGCGGCAATACTCTACTTGCATTGCTGCCCACAAGGCCACTTGCTTCCTGTATTTAACCTGTAGGATACCCAGACTTAAATAGTACTGCAGTGTTTTTACTGGAAAAAGAACAAATGTGCCTAACCTGTCTCCTGCTGGATGTATTTTTTTTTTCCCTCCTTGCCCTCTGGAAAACTTCTGAGCTCTACTTTTTCCTCATCGTCTTCCCCCTGTAATTTAGTCAAACCAGTAGCTTTAAAAACTGCAGTTTGAAAATGCAAAGCGGATTGAATGTTGAATGGTTGCGTAGAAGGTCATAACAGTCTTTAACAAAGTTGCAGTTCTCATGCCATTACCTGGAGCTCACAAATAATCTTGATAAGAAAATTCCAAACTTTTCCATGAACAGTAGTAAAGATGCAAGCTGTTTTAAGGTTTCTTTCTTCTACTGTCAAAACATTTCACTGCCTGAGTTTAAGAATTATCCTGTAACTCTTTTTGATGAGATAGATCTTAGGCAATTGGATTCTCTTAAGTCTTTGAGAGCACTTGGTTTTCATTAACCTGAAGTATGGATCTGATGGCAGCTGTCGAATCAGTTAGATATGTTCATATTGTCTTGTTAACTCAACTTTTAAGGGAAACACAGGAACCAGTGGCTAAAAACTTGCATTTCCTCATTAAGAGGGGGGAAAAAAGTGCAACTATTAATTTATTATACTTTTTCCTGTACCTTCTGTTTAATTACTGTCCAACTGGTTGCCACAGAAACATTTCATTTGGATCCAAGTCCCACACCAGTGAGAAGCTCATGATCTTTGTCACAATGATCTTGGCTTTGAGAGCTCTTCGCTTAATGACCCAAGAACATGAGACACAGAGGTCAGGGATATCTTTGTGAGGAAGAAAGTTAATTCACATGATACCATTTGCATGAGCACGAGTTTTTGTTTTGGTGTTTTTTAATTAAAAAAAAAAAAGTTCTGCCAATGGGATTGTTTATTTCTGTTTCTGAAGTGGGT